TGTGTGTGTGTGTGTGTGTGTGTGTGTGTGTGTGTGTGTGTGTGTGTTAGCATACTCACTATTTTGTTCCTGGATGTCCTAGAACATCCTACACAGACCACCTTGAAATCCACTTTCCTGTGACTCCCAAGTACAGAAATTGAAGACATGTGCCACCACATCTGGCTTTTATTTTAAGATTTGTTCAGCTGGGTGGTGCTGTCACACACCTTTAATCCCAGCACTCAGGGAGGCTGAGGCAGGCAGATCTCTATTGAGATCAAGGCCAGCCAAAGCTACATACAAAGAAACTCCATGGGGTGGGGGGGTGTTTATTTTGCTGGGCATGGTAGCACATGCCTTTAACCCCTGCACTCAGGAGGTATAGATTGTCAGGGTCAGCCTGGTCTACAAAGTGAGTTCCAGGACAGCCAAGGCTCTATTACACAGAAACATTTTCTCAAAAAAACCAAACCAAAATATATATATATTTGTGCATTTTTATTTTATGTGTATGAGTGTTTGCTTACATGTATGTGTCTGCATGATGTAGATGCTAGGAACTGAATCCAGGTGCTTTGCAAGAGCATTAAATGCTCTTAATCACTGAGCTGTAATTCCAACCTTCCAGTTTTTTTCAGCCTCCCAATATTTATTTTTAGCATGTTTCCATTTTGATTGAGGTCATTTATAGAATTTGCCATGCATGTTACTTGATGCTTATAAAATTTCACCTTTTTTGTAATATTTAAAATTTTAGACTTAGATTATGAATATTCAAAAATATGTATAGAAGGAGAAACAAAAGCAGGAGAAATTCTTTATGAATGTAATTATGCAACATTCATCAATGTAGGACAAAGGAGTAAAAAGGGGAGAGGATGTAGGGCCTTTCAGTTAGTATCTTTTGACTGAAGAAAATAGTAACTACTAAATTTGGTATTGAATTTTCTCTTTCTCAGAAGTCTGTTCACCTAGTAGTTTTTGTAGTTTTATTTAACAAGGTAAGTAGCTACTCAGAAAAAAAATATAATTTTACTTAAGGGATTTATAGTGATTTAAAGCCAAAGATAGCTATTAATTATATTGGTTGCTTAATTCACACTAATAAACATACATTGGCGACTTGAACTTTTAAAATTACATTTATTTGTATATGTGTTTGAGTGTGTATGTATACATACATGTGTTCATGTTCTTTCATGAATGTCTGAGAATGTTGAAGCTGGGCAGTGGTGGCTCCTGTCTTTACTGTCAGCACTCAGAAGGCAAGAGGCAGGTAAATCTCTGAGAATGTATGTACATATCTGTGTATGTCAGTGGAGGTCAGAAAACAACTCGAAGGAGCTGGTTTTTCTACCATGTGGGTTCTGGGGTTCAAAGCCAGAATAGTAGGTTTGGAGGCAAATGCCTTTAACTGGTAAGACATCTTCCTGGCCTATTGTAATACTCTGAGTCTAATCAGTTCTGCCTGTTAGAATTTGACTAGATGTCAGCATTTAGTGTAGTTTTCAAGATTTTTCAAGAAACAACTTTGCTCTGAGAAATGTTGGTTGAAATTACTCATGCTCCTATAATTAAGGGTCTTCTAACTTCTTTGATTTGATTATCCTCCTAGAATAATGCAGTCATATTAAAGAAATGTTTTGTAGAATTACTTGGCATTAATATAACTGATCAACGTATTTGGTTGGTATTATGTAAAATCAATAATTTACTTCCTCTTGATAGTATTTTGGTTAATATTTCTAACTTTATCTTAGGGTCATTCCTGAAATGAAAAGGATTATAATTTCTTTAGGAGACATAGTTTTTAAAGATTTATTTATTTTTATTTTATGTGTGATTGTTTTGCCTGCATGTTGTATGTGCCCCACATTTGTGCCTGGTGCCTGCAGAGACCAGAAGAGAGTGTAAGATCCACTCACTGGAGTTACAGATAGTTTTGAGCCACGTGGCTGCTGAGAACTGAACCACTGTCTTCTGCAAGAGCATTGAGTGCTCTTAATGGCTGAGCCATGTCTCCAGTCCATCTTATTTGCATATATGTATGTATGTGTGTATATATGTACATTGACCTTGGGCTTTACACATATAAAGTAAGTGCCTGCCACTGAGGCTGTAATCCCGTCTTCCTTAGGATATGTGTATTGTTTGGTTCTATATGAAAGGTCTATTAGGGATAAATCTGCACTGTAATTTTCTGCCCTAGATTAAGGTGAATTTCTTTTGTCACAATGGTCACTCTAGCATTTTGTGTATTATTTAATTAATGAGAACATTTCTGGTTTTGTCACAGATGAGTGCCAAACCAAATATGGAAATGCTAATGCCTGGAGATACTGTACCAAAGTTTTTGACATGCTCACAGTAGCAGCTGTAAGTTTATATGAATCTCCTCGGAGTTTAAAATGTATTTCTTGTCAAGAACCTTACATATTTTTGTCAATTGTAGCCATTTATTTAGTTTTAGTATTTATTGTTGACTAAATTTGAGTTCATTATGACCCTTTATTGTTCTTTTTTGCTAGTTAATAGATGAGCAGATTTTGTGTGTTCATGGCGGCTTATCTCCTGATATCAAAACACTGGATCAAATTCGAACTATTGAACGAAATCAGGAAATTCCTCACAAAGGAGCATTTTGTGACCTGGTGTGGTCAGATCCTGAAGATGTAGACACTTGGGCAATCAGTCCCAGAGGAGCAGGTTGGCTTTTTGGAGCAAAAGTCACGAATGAGGTAGAGCTAACATTTTTGGAAAAGTAGTTCTTTGATGGGTAAAAGAATAATATTGATCTTAGATATCAAACTCGTAGCCTAAAGTACTAAAGCTATGGTTGCTATAGGTATCAGATTTCTACTGTAGTTGATTGATTTGTGTTTCCTGAATTATTCAGTGAGATTAAGTTTCATTAGCAGCATTATCTGCTAATGTTATTAAAATAATAGTTTAGTAACAGGAACACAGAACAAGATAGGCAGCTTGTTTGTTTGTTGGTTTTAGTGGCAGGTCAAATATCCTGAAACATGCATATATTCTGACAGTCTTCTAATCCTAGTCGAGTTCAAATTTTATTTATATATTTTTTCTTTAAAACAAATTTTTAACTTGTTTTTTGAGACAGGGTCTATGTAACCGTGATTGTCCTAAACTTAATGTATAGACCAGGTTGACCTTGAACTCATGAAGATCAGACTGCTTTTGCTTCCCCAGTGCTAGGACTAAAGGTGTACACCACTATGGAAGGCATACTATGTCTATGCATCATATGCATAAAGTAACTGAGTAGGCCAGAAGAGGGTCTTGGATCCCTTGAGACTGGAGTTAAAAGTGGTTGTGAGCTACTGTGTGGTAGTTGGGAAAAACAGCCAGTGCTCTTAACCACCAAACCATCTCTCCAGCCTGAGTTCAAATTTTAAACTAACATACATGAGTAAAGAGAATTAAATGTTGTTCCAAGGCACATACTGAATCTCCATGACTAGATGAAAACAAGAACCACTGGGTTGAATAATTAGACAGTAATATATAAAAATAACTTATTGCTTACAATTTATAAAACATTATGATCATAATCTTTGATTTTTTTTATAATCTACAGTGCTGGCTACATTAGTATAATTTTAGAATTCAGAAACTATTTGCTAAAATTTTAGGGTAAATAATCTACAAATAAGGTACACACAGAAATTCTGACATCTGCTACTATTTTATGAAGGCAGCTTTATCAAATAACAAACCTATTTGCCCTACACATATACAAAACAATGCATACATCAAAAAAGCCATGACATATAGGCAAACATAGGCAAAAAGCATTCACACACAGGGATGATGTTCTGTTGAGATATGTTTTTAACATAATAGAGTTATAGAACCAGGTGCTGGGGCCATTGGTTTGTCCTCATGGAAGACTTTACTCAGTCTGAACCTTTTCCTCTTCAGATTGCAAAGAAGGATGATCTCTTCATGGCATGCACTGAATCCTCACATAATAAGACTGATAGTAATGTTATTATTAAGCAATTAAATAGAAAACTTTTTTTTGTAGTTGATAGCGATTATGTAAATTTTCCCCCTAGAAATTTCTTTCTTTCCTTGATACAATTCTTAAATGCCCTGGGCTGGCCTCAAGCTCTTACTTCTAACAATTTCTATAATGTTTATTTTTCTTGTTTGTTTATTTAGGTTTTTTTTTTTTTTTTTTTTTTTTTGTTTTTTTTTTTTGTATGTACATATTGGAGGACTGTGAAGAGATCATAGGACAACTTGTGAGAGTCAGTTTTCTCCTATTCTGTGGGTTCTGGGATCAAATTCTGGTTATCAGGCTTGATGACAGGCACCTAACTGTCTATTATTATTATTATTACTACTATTTCTACTATTACACTGCTACTATTACTGTTTCAAAGATGTGCTGCCTCTGTGTTGCAGTGGTTGGTCTCAAACTTCTGGACTCAAGTGATCCTCCTACTCAGCCTCCCAAGTAACTGAGAATGCAGGTGCTTGTTAACTGTACCTGCCTCAGAGTCCATATGAGCTACGTATTCAGGCCAAAGTGACTCTTGAAATGTTGTGGATGATTAGAGAGTGGGGTTTAGAGTCATGATGACTTTGTGATACTTGCTGCTTAGAATGGTTATTAAGTAGTTGGATGGAATACTCACCAAACCTTTCTAAATTTCAGTTTGTTCATATCAACAACTTAAAACTCATCTGCAGAGCACATCAGCTTGTGCATGAAGGCTATAAATTTATGTTTGACGAGAAGCTGGTCACAGTGTGGTCTGCTCCTAACTACTGCTATCGCTGTGGAAACATTGCTTCCATCATGGTCTTCAAAGATGTCAATACGAGAGAACCAAAGCTATTCCGGGCAGTTCCAGATTCAGAACGTGTTATTCCTCCCAGAACCACGACGCCGTATTTCCTTTGAGGCCTTTGCCATCCTGCTGGCCCACTTTTTGCCCTCTTTTACCCCAACTTTCTTGTACCCTCTACAATATACTTTTTATTGAGCACTTTGCTGCTGAAATGCTGCCTCTTGCCTTTTTTTTTTTTTTTAATTTTAAATTATCTAAATTTATTGTTTGTTATGGTGTCAATAGCAGTGTTTTTCTATCAATTTTGCCACTCATCCCATCCCCACCTTGGACTCGTTTGAGAAGACTTGAGAAATGTCTTAATACTCACGTTGCTGCATGTAGCTCTTGCATATTTGCTGTTCTGGGGAGACAGGAAGTATTTCCCTTTTTAAAAAGCCAATTGACAATTACATGGAAATCCTCCTCATTTGTATCAGCCAGCCTTCTGTTTTTGTTTGGTAGGGTTTAAGAAATTTCAGCAGCAAAGTTGTCCAGTGGGCAGGATGGACTGCATATGCCTGAGTCATGTACCCTTGTCCCGGCTGTAAACTTCACTGTCCTTTGTTGGATGATAATTTGATGTTTTAAAGGGGTATAAAAATAAATTGGTCTAAAGGGCTGCCCTCCTTGTTGTGTTTTTAAATTTTAGTTTAAAACTGCTACAGCTATGACTTTGTACATTAAGATAATTGTACTGATCTTTTTTCAGATTTCTTGTATTTTTTAATAAAGTAATCTTAAAACCCAGATAGGTTAAGTGTTAGAAATTTTAAGCAACTTACATTGTTAGCTTAAAGTTACTTTTTTCTTCCTTCCTTCCTTCCTTCCTTCCTTCCTTTCTTTCTTTCTTTCTTTCTTTCTTTCTTTCTTTCTTTCTTTCTTTCTTTTTTTATTTTCCGTTTTCTTAAGAGTTTTTGACCCTTTGGTTGAGTCTAAATTTTCAATTGAAATTCAATATTTTTTTAAAAAAATCACTAAATTGTGCCTAAAGAACATAACTGCCATATTAATGTTTTGATTTCTATCCTCTATAGTAATAGAAAAACATTTAATACTTGTAGCACTGACGTGTTGATTAAATACCAGTTGAGTAGAATGTGCTTGATCCAGTTTACACTGTCATGAGAATCATCAAGTAATCACATGTACTTTTCAATAGCAAGCATTCTCTCACTGTAACCCTTGACCTTAACTTTTACAAACTATTCAGTTTTAACTGCAACTTTAAAGGCTGAAAAATCAGAACCCTTGTGTTTGTGAACTGTAATCTGAAGCAGATTATTTAAAGTGTGGGAAGAAACAGACTGTTCTCTTGTGAACGTCTGTCATACCATATTTCAGCTTTGTGTAATTTGACTATCTAAAGGGTTGTGATGATCAGTTCTTGATATGTATTGTCCACTTAATAAGGACAAGTATATCATTATCTCTTATGACTGTGGTCATAGATGATTTCGGGATGTACCATCTTGTGAAATTGTTGGTATCCCTTTATGACTATAATTGTTTTTTGTCATCCCAGGAAACCGTGTGAAGCCGATTGATAAAGCACTTTAGCATCTGTTCAGGTAATTTAAAAAACAAAAAACAAAAAACTTTTCCCCTTCAGGATAAGAACTTCCAGGTTATCTAAAAATGCAATAAAAAAAAATCTTAATAGTTTAAGCTTCTTGGCAAATAATTCTTCATCAGGGTTTCTTTTACTGAATGAGCACAATCTTAGTTTGATTTTATTTGTCCCCAACCACCCAGCTCCTTGTACAGTTTTTAATTGTGTAGCTCTATGAAAGAAGTAGCTGAGGCATTTGCTGCACACACTTGAACTAATAGTGGGTCAGTAGCTTTGTCTTACTGCCCTAACCCCAGTGTAATTCAGGTGGAAAGGTATTTTTATCTCACAGGAATATGTAGCTATGTATTTTACTTAATTGTGAAACACTGGAATTAATGATGCAGACAACGTGGAATTAATGATGCAGACAACGTGGTGTGGTTTTTTTAAACAGCTCTGCAGTATTTTTTTGTTCTTGTTACCATAAATTGTATTTAAGTGCTTGCCTTCCACTGCTTCTAAGTTGTATCAGTAAAACCAGTTACTCTCAGTCACCTTTCCACTTCACACTCTTTAGCTTAGTTGATGTGGTTGTTTTCATTCACCTTGAAATGTGACTTATTTTCAAGTCATGGTGTACTAAACTTGTTTGTCACTAGCTGGGCATGTGCCAATAATATTCTGTCCATTCCTTAACTGCCATCTCTTTTTTGCCTGACTTTTCTTCAGCTGATAATGGCTTTAGGGCATGGAAAAAATAGTTTTTACTATTAGATGTGTGAAGGAAAGAGAGTGAATGTATTGGACTTTGTAAGCCTGGAAATAATTTGGATCCCACTACTAAACAAGGGCTATGTATTATACAAGAGTAATTGTGTGGTAGGAGATACTTGCAAGCCATTGATCTGTAGGTGAGGGAATTTGCTACTCCCTGTATGTAGGCCGAATGTAAAATCCCTTATGTTGTATCAATGGAGCTAAGAACTATTTTTATTTTCCTGTGATATACTTGGTTTCTAATAAAGTGTCCGAGCCTCCAGTGAGAACTGTCTACTTTGAATTGCCATTTTCTCCCTCTCTTTATTTGGCTGAAAGACTCTTGGCTAGCTTTCCATAGGTCAATGAAGAATCTCATTTCTTTAAATGTGTTCACTCGGACAGGATTCTAAAAAGCCTTGATTACATCTAATATGCAATCTGTATCAGCTCCTATTCCATCTGGATGTCTAGAACTGTTGGAAGATTTTGACATCTTAAATGCTAAGTTTTGCTTTTGAAATAAGGTTCAAAATGTTCGTTGCATTTAAGATCTGTGTGTGTTTGCTCTGTAACCCCAGCTCTGGGAGTTGAAAAATGCCTGTACTGTGAAAGCCTGCCATTGTCAGATGTAGAATTACTTTTGTCAGCTTTGAAAATTGTGTACAAAGTTGAAAAGATTTAACTACAAATTTATCTACAAGAATCCAATTTTTAAGTGTCATTGTTTTTTAAATGCTAATATTTGTAAAGCACCTCCAGTTCTTTGAATGAAAGGTGCTACATTCCCTCAGTGTCAATTAATAAAAAGATTATAGGAAGTTTGTGAAAAATAATTTATCTAATGCAGTCTGTAGTATTCCCTGAGAAGAAGGTAGCATTTCATATAATTTATGTTTTTAAAGAACTGCTTGCTCTTTCACTTGGTTGTATGACTGTTAAACTTTCTTTTCCCCCTGCATTTGCCTATGGCCTAAGTGTTCCCGTTTCTTAAAGGCACTATTTATTGTTCCATCCTAGATACTGTGACCAGAACCATGCATCATGAGGTCATTACAACTCTTTGTACTGTGCATTTACAGGGAGGTATTTATACTGTGTGCTTACTTGATTACTGTATGTTTCATTATTATAAATAATATAGTAATCAAAACCAAAAAAATTTCAGAAATCCCCTAGAATGATGCAAGTTTCCTTCATCACAAGATTATGTACCTTTCTTTTGAGAATAAGTTAAAGCTTACATTATTAACATGGTTCTTAATTCAACAACATATGAAGTTTATACATAATTTCTTTTATGTGTTTCAACAAAAACATTTATTTCATAGTACATGCCACTCTGTGAGTACCTGATAATGGTTCTTAGCATTTTGTATATAAATGAGAGGGGATCTTTTTTAATCTATACTGAAGCATTTTAGGTAGATGCTAATCATGTCCTATTTTGCCTTGCTGAGAAATGAACCTGGGGCCTTCTTGTAAGCAGTCTACATTGAAGCTACATGTCTTAGGTTGTGATTTTTTTTTTTTTTTTTTGGTCTGGGGAGGCTGGTTGTTCTGGGACAGTTTTTCAATTTTATGTAGCCCACACTGTCTTTGCAGAGATCCACCTGGCTATGCATTCCAAGTGCTGGGATTAAAGACATACACCACCATGAGTCTAGCCAAGCTAGATTCTTATGGTACTCTTACTGTAGATCTCTGCCTAAGTTCTTCAACCCAGATGAGGAAATGAGTTTGGAAAAGACAGGTAACTTACCAAGGTCACATGGGAGAACTGGAACTTGAACCCTTTGGAGGGCACAGCACAGTGAGAAGCCTTCTATTTTAAGCACTGTTGGTTTTTGCAGCTTTGTGAACATGAACAAATTGAATTCTCTGATCTTTTATTTATGTTCTAAAAGGAATATAGTAAAATTGATTATAGTATTAGAAATAGCACCTACAAAATGTCCATAACTTGGCCCAAACTTGCTGTTTACTGAGGACTCAACCAAAATCAGTGTGATTAGGAAGAGGAATCCAGGGTAAGACATAATTGCCAACACTTGTAGCTTTAAAAAAATCAAATTTATTCTATGTGTATGGATGTTTTTGCTTTTGTTTATGTATGTGCAGAGTTCAGAAGAGAGCCTCAGATCTGGGGCTAGGTATGATTGTGAGCCACATGTTGGTGCTAGAAACTGAGCCCAGATCCTCTGCAAGTATAACTGTTCCATCGCTCAAGTCTTTGAAGTACAAGAAATTTAGAGGAAGTGTTAGATGCAGTAGGAGACATGAATTAGTGGGTTGGGGCAATAGGATGTGCATGTTTTATATAAGCCAGAGGCTGATATGATACATCTTGGACACAACATGAAGGATACATTTTAGGATACCCATGGAGGAGTTGCAATTCTATTGACAGATTGTGCTTCAGAGAGGACTGGCCAATCATGGAAAATGTTGGGTGGTAGGAGGATTTTAATAAGAATTTCATGATTGATATTTCAAGATTATATCAAGACCCCTCTACCTGAAAATCCTTAATTCTTGCTGGATTGATGATGTGAATGGATATAAGATAAAATTGGGATGATTGGTTGTTCTTTGGCCCTAAGAATATATCATTTGGGGGGAACGAGATATTTTTCCCAGTCAGAGCCACCAGGCATGCTGTGATACACAGGCTGTGTGGAAGCAAAACACCCATCTACCTAACATCTGGAAACAATTCTGAAGGAGCATAGACTGGGATCCTATGCTCAGCAGTGGGCCAACAAGGCAGCTCAACAGATTAAGATGTTTACCACCAATCCTGATGACCTGATTTTGATTCCCCAGCACCCAAATGATGAAAGGAGAGAACTGACTCCCACAAGTTGTCTTCTGGCCCCGGGTGTCCTAGCATTCACACACAAAACTCATACTTTCTCCCTCACCCCCTTTCTCTTCTTACCTTCCTCCTCGTAAATGCAGTAAGAGTAGTTCCTCAGTAATACAAATCTCACTACAACTTTGAGCATCCCATTATTTCATTAAAGAAAAACCAGAATTGAGGATGAGCGCGACATAAACTGTTGAGGAATGAAGGAGAACCTTTTGCACCAAATACATTTGGTTCTGTGAAAACTTAGTATCTCAATATTTGGGATACTGTCCAATTATGGACATTTCTAAGATATTTCTCATGCATTTTTATTTGCTCTTGTGTGCTGTGTGTGCAGGTGTGTATGTCATGTGGAGATCAAAGAGTCTTTGAGAGCCTGTTCCTCTGTGGAACAGAGGGTTCCAGAACTGAAGTCACGTCAGGCTTGAACACCAAGCATCTCTCACTCTGTTGAGCCATGTATATGCACTGTGTTGGTGTGTGTTTTAACAAAATGTGTTCCAATAAAACGAAAGTGGCTCAAGAGAAAGTTTTATGCCTTCTCCCAAATCTGACAGGAAGAAATGAACTTAGGATCTGCCAGACAGATTTGCATAGGAATGAAGATGTACAGTTATTACTCAGCTTAAGAATTATATTCTTCAGATGCAATACAACTGCTATATTCTCAAAGAGAACTCTTTGTTAGAGCAGAATAGAAGAAGTTACTAGTATTAATTGTACTTACATGATGGTAGTTTTGCATGCTTGGGTCTGTCAAAAATGCAGTGACGTTTATACTAAAAATAGTTAACTAGTGTAAATTTTCGAATCATCTGCAATGGCACAGAAGGGCTAGCTTACACAGAAGCAGTTCTTTTTAGGCTCTTCAAAATGGAATACATTTCTTGTAGTTACTGCAATTGGTTCTTTTTGCAGTGCGGTTTCTTTTTTCATGGTAATTAAATTCTCGTGCCTTTTTACAAGCTTGTACCCAAGCTTAGGATCTTTCCTGCAGCCAAACCATACTGTGTGTTGCTAAATCTTTATAATTTAGGATCGAGTCCTTTTTAAAGGGAAGCACTGAGCCGCGGGAACTGCATTCGAGGTGATTCAGGACGACTCCGTGAAGGAGAGCTGCTTTGCTCTCGAACTTCTGGATGTATTTAGAGAAGCGCAGTGCTTGATTTTGGTTCTGGAACGGTGCAGAGGCGGGTGGGGGCGGGGGACGGGATTAGCAGGTGTCTGGGATACAAGATGCTAGCCAAAGAATCTGCAGGCAGGTGTCTGGCTCTGGAGATGCAAGTTCCTTTTTCTGGCACACGGGGGCGCCCAGGGCCCCTCCTGCTCTGCTGGCAGTCTCTAAAGCATCTCTGCCGCTACCAGCAGTCTCAACCAAACCTCGGGGTGGGCCGTGAAGGACGTGACGGCCTGAGCGCCCAATCGGCGGCCGGACTTGCAGGCACACTGCCGTTGCAGCCAATAGGAGCCGAGGAGGGGACGGTCCCCGCGGCCAGCCTGGCCGAGGCGCGAGTCCCTCCTCCCGTCTCCCCGCCTACTCCAGCCTCCGCCGCTTCAGCTTCCCGAGCGAGCCCTGCGGCCGCCGGAGCATCTCCCGCGGCGGAGCAGGAGCCGGATGGTCAGAGGAGCCCGGCAGTCCCAGCAGCCGCGGAGTCGCCTGGCCCCCAGGTGCGGCGGCCTGCGTTGCCAGGCGGAGGCTAGGGGCGGGGGTCCGAGGGAGCGGGCCTGGGGGTGGCGGCCGAGGGGTCGGGGCGCCGAGCCCTGAGGGGCGGGGGTGCAGACACGCACCATCGGGGGGGCGCCGCGGTAGAGCAGCTCGTCGGGGCGGGGAGCGAGGGCGCGCAGGGCTGGAGCGGAGGGCGCGCGCCCCACGGGGGCCCAGGAATGCGGGAACCGGGGCTGAGGGGCGGGGCCGCGGCCGAGGGGAGCCGAGGGGCCTGCGGCTCTGGGCAGACAATGAGGCCGACGGGGCGGGTGGTTTGGGGGAGCCGAGGGCATTCGAGGACCAGTGAGTCCCAGGTTGCTTGGTCTCAGCCTGAAGGGTTTGTACGGGCAGGGGTGGACGCGGCCAACCTGTGGTCAGCCTGTGGCCCCGGAGGGTGGTACACGGAGTGCCCCACGGGCAAGGCGAAGCCAAGGGTGTGCTCTCTTAGTTACGGGTCTCGTTTGTTTGCTCTGTAGACTGACGGGCACGGTGGAGAAACCACCTCGAAAGCGGAAAAGCAGGTAAGGCAGATGCCTTCCTCTCTAGCTTCGTGTTTTTCTGTTTGCTTGGCTGCCCCTGTGCTGCATAATTACATGGTCAGTAGATGAAGTTTCTGATTTAGGTCCTTTTGTGTTGTTTGTTTGTTTTAGTAAATGCGACTGCATGCTTCAAAGTACCACCACCTCCCCTTTGAGGTATAAGATTCTGGAAACATGGAAAATTAAGAAAGCCCAGCTTTTTACTTTAATCATAATTTCAATTTCTCTTGCATCTCTAACAGAAATGGTCATTGAACAGCTACTGTGTTCACAAATTCTGTGTTTTGTTTGTTTGTTTGTTTGTTTGTTTGTTTTTGAGTCACAGTTTTGCAGAAGAGGGAACTGAACCAGAGTGGCCACTACTTAGCCAAGATCACACATCTGCTAGACGATAGAACCGGGTTTTGAATCCAGGTTGTCTGACTGTGGAATTTATGCTCTTTATACTGTAATGTTTCTAATAAATATACAGTTGAAAGTAGTCTCACCCCCCCCCCCAGCTTTCTCTCCTTTTTATTATATATAAGGTCTAATAAATTACAATGGTTAATAAGAAAATAGTAACTAAGGGCTTACATAGGTCACACACAACTGAATTTTTCCTTAGGCCATGAAGAAGAGTGTTGATTTCCTAAATATGTTTTAGTGTGTTTCATATGTTGGTACGTACAGCACAATTTTATTTAGTTATTTGAAGACTACTTTTTTTTTTTTTTAACCTGTCTTGGTATTGGAATTGAGAAAGTAAGCTACAGTAATGAGGATGTGGCCGGTAGCACCGTTTTCATAACTAATACTTCGGAAGTTGTCCATTAATACGCAGATATCCTCAACAGTAAATAGATACAAATGCCAATGGTGGGCGTAGGCAGTAGCCAAATAGCTTTGTTACTTTTTAGGGCTACTGTCCACTCTCATATTCACATGCAGCTGCCGAGCACCCGTAAGGTTGGCTAGCATACCTGAGAAACTGGATTGTTTGGAGGTGGGCATGTATTTGTGTGTGCAGGTGAGTGTGTGTATGTTCCTGTGAATGCCCATACATGCGTGTCCATGTGGAGCCCAAAGGTCTACTTTTGTTGTTGCTCCTCGGGAGCCATACACCTGGTTTGTGGAGGCTCTGTCTCTGGGACCTGGGGCTCACCATTTGGCTAAGCTGGCTAGTCAGCCAGCAGTCCCTGGATCTATCTGCCTATCTACCCCAGACTGTCAGTTTTTAATGTAAGTTAAAAATTTATTCATCTTGTCTATATGTATGAGTGTGGATATTGCATGTGGAGGTCAGAGAATAATTTATGGCAGACGATTGTCTTTGTATACCATGTGAGTCCCTGGGAAGAAACTCAGGTCATCAGCTTGACTGTAGGAATCTTTACCTGCTGAGCATCTTGCTGGCCCTTTAACCTTACATTTACAAGTTCATCATTCATTAGAAAATAAATGTTTAAGTATGTCTTAAGAATTCTTGGGTATGTAAATCTGTTCTTTCATCTGTAAGTCTTATGAAAGTCTAAATATTTACCCGGCCTACCAATTAAAATGTAATGTTCAAAACAAGTGTAGAATAAAATTAGATTTAAATTAGCACAAAAACATGAATGTGAAGTTCTCATTCTGAGTTTTAGTCATTACTTGGTAGAATAGTTAGATGTATTGGAGTAAATAAATTTACTTTTTCATTTAGTGTGTGTGTGTGTGTGTGTGTGTGTGTGTGTGTACTTGTATGTGTGCATGTGCATGCACAAATTTAGAGGTCAGGGGTCACTTTGCAGGAGTCAGTTCTTTTCATCCTGTGGTTCCCAACTGAACTCAGGTTGTCAGACATGGTGGCAAGTGTCTTTATCCACCGAGTTGTCATTCTGGCCCAAATTAAGTAATTTTTGTTATTACTAAAATTATTTTCCTAGCAGGCCGTACTCTAGCTACTATTTAGCCTAAGCTTCCTTGTAGACTATGCAGCAAACTAGACTTCCTATGGTCAGATGTGGGAATCCATTTATCCCCTCCCTTCCCCAAATCTCTGTCCTGCCAGCAATAGTGGTAAGTCCACTACATTCACACATACATACTTTTCACACACACAAGCATAAGCTTTCATTTTCAACTTTTTCTAATGGCGGTAATTAGAAAATGAAAATCTTACAGGGTTATAATTTTTTTGTTTGTTTGTTTTATGGTGGCCCTCGTTTATTTCTCATTACCCCATTGCCAGACTCTTATAGGAGGCCTCCTGGCTGGTTTTTGGCCTCTAATCTTTATTCACTATGCTGTGTCATTTGATCATGTATTTCTTGTGCAGGAGTAACCTCATGTGTTTCCTCCTTGCTACTTAACATAATTCAGAGTTTTTAAGCTAACCGTAGCAACTGAGGACTATTTCCCTTTTACTATTTCCTTTCCAGCCACTGGTTAGTGCTGTAGCCATAGAAATTCTCTTTGCTGGACCTGCCATCTGGTGAGCCAAGATGAGTGAACTGCTGAATGTATCTTGTTTGCCATTCCCAGAATTTCTGTTTAATTTTTGTATATGACCTTTCTTTCTGGATAATTTCTGCTCTTTTAAAACTTAATGCAAACATCACGTCCTCAGTGAGGTTTTCTCCATCCCCTTCCCTTTCCTGTGCTCTCCTCTTCTGCTCCCATACTTAAGTGTGATGATTTTGGCTGAATGTGAAGCCCGCCTCTTGTCGCATGCATGTTGTGAGCTCATAAGCCATGTGGCTAAGATCATGTCCAAGAATATTCACTCTCTAAATATTTCCCACTCCATTTCCCTGTGTCTTGTGCTGTATCATATGAAGATCCTTTCCCATACGTGTTGTCTTGCTTGGCATGCAAGAGGCCTTGAGCTTAATCCTTAGTACCAGTACAGGTGGGAGGGGGAATCTTTTCTGAGCCTCAGGGGGAGAAAAAGCAAACTAGAAAATTAGCTCAACAGTCAGGGGGTTAAAGAGTCCCTGGTATAGTGCTTAGCATAAAATGTCTGGACACAGTAAGTTCCAAGTGAAAAAGAACAATGAGTGCTCTTAACTGCTGGGCCATCTCTCTAGCTTCTGGTATATGTAATTTATTTAAGAAGCAAATTGGAATATTATTGGAATACTTTGTATTTTTCGGTTGTTGAGATGTAGTAATATATGCCCATGCTAGGGAAAACTCATATTAGTGAGGAAAACACTGAAATATGAGATAGTTTGATGACTTTGTTTATATACAAAGGATTTGCAGTAACTCTGCTTACTGGTGGAGGGTAGATTCCAGGCATTGTAGACCGTGAAGGGCTGGAAGGCTAATTTTGGTGATAATGTGACAGCTGGGAACCTAGAGATGAACCTAGATAAAAGCAGTGCTTCTCAACTATTAACGGATTAGATCTGCAATGTCCCCCAGAGCCTCGTGTGTTGAAGGTTCAGTCCCTAGGGCAGCAGCATTGAGGAGAAGAAGAGAGACTCTGAGAAAGTGATTGGGTCGTGAGGCCTCCAACTTCCTCAGTAGGTTCATCCTTTGGTAGAATCCTAAGTTGATGGACTGTTCACGATTCATGAAAACACGAGATGTGGAATACTTGATGGGAATGGGTCTTTGGGGAGCTGTATCTTGTCCCTACCTAACACTAACATATTATCAACTTAGATTCTTGTTTCTTAGGGAACGGTTGGCAGAGTCTGGAGGCTTTGGGTTGTAAGAGCTTTGGGTGTGTAGTGGGTGGGGGATGCTGCTGCACATTCTGCAGCGTCACGGCAGCTGCCTCGGTTACCTCACTCAAATGTCTGCGGTGTCTACACCCTGTAGTCCCAGGCCTCAGAGGCCGAGAGAGGAGGACTGAAGCGTCAAGGCCAGCTTGGCTATATATAGCCAGTCCCTATATATAAACAATAAAACATTTTTAGAGAGTCAATAATGTAGAGACTAAGAAATTCTGAACTAAAATTTTAATTATAGTGCTTTTAAATAATAGCTTTGAAAGCTTGGACAAAATAACCTCTGACTTCCTTTATGTATTTTTTTTTTTTTTAATCAATAGGGATAGTTGAGGTTAGTCTTGAACTTTTTGTTATTGTTTTGTTTTTTAAACAGGATCTATCTGTGTAGCTCTGGCTGTCGTAGAACTCAGTATGTAGACCAAGCTGCTCTTGAACTTGCAGTGGTCTGCTTGCCTCTGCCTCCTAAGTGCTGGGATTCAAGACATGAACCATCACACCCAGGTCTAGTTTTGAGCTTTTGACCTTCTTGCTTCAGCCCTCTGAGTGCTGGGGTTAGAGATGTTACACTACCATGCTTGAACTTTTATGATGCAGAGGACCCAAGTTTAATTCCCAGCACCCACATGCTGGCTCAGAACCATCTATAACTTCAGCTCTACTCCCTCATCTGACCTCAAAGCCACCAACGCAGATACAGATTCAGGCAAAACACACAGGAAAATAACATAAATTCTTTTAATAGTCTATTGTAGGTGGGTGGCAGCAAGGTTGTGAAAACTCTGTTACAGGTTTCAGACATTATTTGAAGACATCCTTAGCTTGGACTCATGGAAGCTAATAGTATGTAAAGAATAAATTTTAAAGGTGTTTTTTGTTTTGTTTTGTTTTGTTTTTTTATAGTCACAGGATGCTAAGTCAGACATAGAAGTAGGCTGTGAATGACTTCCAAGAGTAGAAGGTTAGTTTTCAGTCCATGGAGCTACAGTTTGAATCCTGAGTGTATCAGCAAAGTCCTTATATTGTTGATGGAACCGATAGAAAGTGGGACCCCGCATGTTCTTAGGGGACACTGGGATCCAGAGCCTTTCCTGCCTCTTTGCTTTCTACTCCTGTGAGATGAGTGTGCACTCCTGTCATGATATACTAGGCTACAACAGTCCCAGAGTGAATGAAGCCAAGAAACCACGGACTGAACCCTCCCACAAACACATACACAAAACCATAGGCTCAAGTAAATGGTTTTTTTCCTTTTAAATTAATGCTTGACTAACATGGGTC